TACGAAAGATTACCAAAAGAGAAAAATACAGTTAAAGGGAAAAAACGAAAGGTAACTCATCATCTTCTTAAAGAGATTGTAAAGAGGTTTCTAACTTTTTATGTGTATCAGGTACACTGATAGCATCAATTTACATCATTCCAATTTTCGATATTAATTTATTAGCATCCTATGAGATAGCTGGTAAATATTCAGTAATCATATAACAATTAATGGGATTGTTTAGAAGTTTATTCATCAATTTGGACCATTCCAATTTTCAGTCATAAATCTGTGGTCCTCGCATTTTCATTATAAATGTTTTATAACTTAGAATTATTGGGATTTGTGAGGCTAGATTCATTATTGGAGTTTGTGGGGCTAGATTCATTATTGAGGTTTGTGAGGCTAGATTCATTATTGGAGTTTGTGAGGCTAGATTCATTATTGGGGTTTGTGAGGCTAGATTCATTATTGGAGTTTGTGAGGCTAGATTCATTATTGAGGTTTGTGGGGCTAGATTCATTATTGAGGTTTGTGAGGCTAGATTCATTATTGGAGTATGTGAGGCTAGATTCATTATTGGGGTTTGTGAGGCTAGATTCATTATTGGAGTTTGTGAGGCTAGATTCATTATTGAAGTTTGTGAGGCTAGATTCATTATTGGAGTTTGTGAGGCTAGATTCATAATTGGGGTTTGTGGGGCTAGATTCATTATTGGAGTTTGTGAGGCTAGATTCATTATTGGGGTTTGTGAGGCTAGATTCATTATTGGAGTTTGTGAGGCTAGATTCATTATTGGGGTTTGTGGGCCTAGATTCATTATTGGGGTTTGTGGGGCTAGATTCAGTATTGAGGTTTGTGAGGCTAGATTCATTATTGGGGTTTGTGGGGCTAGATTCATTATTGGGGTTTGTGGGGCTAGATTCATTATTGGGGTTTGTGGGGCTAGATTCATTATTGGGGTTTGTGGGGCTAGATTCATTATTGAGGTTTGTGGGGCTAGATTCATTATTGAGGTTTGTGGGGCTAGATTCATTATTGAGGTTTGTGGGGCTAGATTCATTTTTGGGGTTTGTGGGGCTAGATTCATTATTGGGGTTTGTGGGGCTAGATTCATTATTGGGGTTTGTGGGGCTAGATTCATTATTGAGGTTTGTGGGGCTAGATTCATTATTGGGGTTTGTGGGGCTGGATTCATTATTGGGGTTTGTGGGGCTAGATTCATTATTGAGGTTTGTGGGGCTAGATTCATTATTGAGGTTTGTGGGGCTAGATTCATTATTGAGGTTTGTGGGGCTAGATTCATTATTGAGGTTTGTGGGGCTAAATTCATTATTGAGGTTTGTGGGGCTAGATTCATTATTGGGGTTTGTGGGGCTGGATTCATTATTGAGGTTTGTGGGGCTAGATTCATTATTGGGGTTTGTGGGGCTGGATTCATTATTGAGGTTTGTGGGGCTAGATTCATTATTGAGGTTTGTGGGGCTAGATTCATTATTGAGGTTTGTGGGGCTAAATTCATTATTGAGGTT